AGATTTACGATCCCAGAAACCGTATGGAGTTGAAACGGACTTGCTGGCCACGAGTTTGTGTCTGTTGTTGAACGACTAATAATATTGGGCTTCTTTTCATGTGCTTAGTTGTTGCTGTTAGGTGCCCTCAAGTTGGTTCCAACTCATGGTGACCTGATGCACAGAGAAGAAACACGGCCCAGTCCTGTGCCATCCTCACAAGTGTTCTTTTTTTAATTAATAAATCATTTTATTGGGGGCTCTTACAGCTCTGGTAACAATCCATACATCAATTGTATCAAACACATTTATACCTATGTTGACATCGTTTTCAAAACATTGTCTTTCTGCTTGAGCCCTTGGTATCAACTCCTTTTTTCTTTCCTCCCCCACATGGACCCCTGATAAATTATTTTCATATCTTACACCATCCACTGTCTCCCTTCACCCATGTTTCTGTTGTTTGTCCCCCTGGAGGGGGGATTAATACATCGATCATCATAGTCAGTTCCCCATTTCTTTCCCTACCTTCATGGTATCGCTACTCCCATTATTGTTCCTGAGGGATTTATCTGTTCTGTGTGTCGAGGGCTCTTATCTGTACCAGTGTACATGCTCCAGTTTAGCTGGATTTGTAAGGTAGAACTGGGGTCATGATAGTGGGGTGGAGGAAGCTTTAAAGAACTAGAGCAGTGGTTCTCAACCTCTGGGTCACGACCCCTTTGGGGGTCGAATGAACCTTTCACAGGGGTCGCCTGATTCATAGCAGTAGCAAAATGAAAGTTATGAAGTAGCAACAAAAATAATTGTATAGTTGGGGGGTCACCACAACATGAGGAACTGTATTAAAGGGTCGCGGCATTAGGGAGGTTGAGAACCACTGAACTACAAGAATGTTGTGTGTTGTCAGTGTTTATACTGTACCCTGGCTGACTTGTTCTTTCTTTGTGACCCCTTTGAGTCTACAATTGGACTTTGGGTCTCCACTCCGACCCCCATCATTTGCATCAGTTTATTTGCTTGTTCTGGGTATTCTGATGCTGATCCCATCGACACCTCGTGATCGCACAGGCTGCTGTGCTTCTTCCATGTGGGCTTTGCTGCTTCCCAGCTAGATGGCCGCTTGTTTACCTTCAAGCCTTTAAGACCGCAGACACTCTCACAATTGTTCTTATGTTTAAGCCCATTGTTGCAGCTGTTGTGCTAGTCCATCTTGCCAAGGGCCTTCCTTTTTTTTGCTGCCCCTCTACTTTACCAAGCATGATATCCTTCTCAAGGAACTGGTCTCTCCTGTCCAAAGGAGGTGGGACAAAGTCCCATCCTTACTTCTAAGGAGCATTTTGATGGTACTTCTTCCAAGACAGATTTGTTTTTGTTTTTTGGCAGTCCACGGTACTTTCAATATTCTTCACCAGTACCCTAATTCAATGTCCAACTTGGATGACCCTTACAGTGAGGAAGAGGAAACCAGAAAACCTCTGAGTCAAGGTAACAGCCTTGCCTTTCAACACTTCAAAGGGATCTTGTATAGCAGATTGACCCAGTGCAATGCATTGTTTGATCTCTTGACTGCTGTTTTCAGGAGCATTGATTCTGAATCCAAGCAAAATAATTTTAATCCTTTTTCTTTTTTTCTGGACAGCTCAGCTGGCTGCACCCTCTACTAACTGCAGAAGCCTAAAAGCCTAGCAACAGGGAATTAAAGCTTTTCCTGGGCTGTTTACCCTGGGCTGTCCTTCGGATCACCAATCAGAAAACTTCTCTATAGTTCCTGGAAAGCAAAACTTTACCAGATATAAGAAGGGGCGTCACAAAGTCCACAGAAAAATCCTATTACCTTTTAATTCCAGTTTTCCACCAACTTTTTGAAGCTCTCTTGTATCATTTGAAAAGATTTTCTTCCATTTTCTAGATTGTCGTCTCACTTTCTTTGATGATTAAAAGTTTTAATATGAATGAAGTCTGATCGATTTTTCCTTTTGTTGCTTAAGCTTTGGGGACAGTATCTAAGAATTCGCTGCTGAAGTCAAGGTCAGGAAACTTTAAAAAAAAATCATTTTATTGGGGGCTCATACAACTCTTCACAATCCATACATATATCAATGTGTAAAGCACATTTGTACATTCCTTGCCCTCATCATTCTCAAGACATTTGCTCTTCACCTAAGCCCCTGGCATCAGCTCCTCATCCCCTCCCCACACACCCCAGGTCAGGAAGCTTTACCCCTATGTTTTCTTCTAAGAGTTTTAGGGCTTTCTCTCGAATGCTCCCGGTCACGAATTCACTTTGGATTAGTTTTTGTGAGGGGAGTGAGAGGAAGAGGCAGAGGGCGAAAAAAGAGGGCTCAGGAGCCCCTGCCATGACATCAAGCCCACGGCAAGGAGGTGAGCCAGTGGGCTCCAGGCAGCCATTGCACGCAGGTAGGCGTTGCATTCCTCTCAGGGTTCGGGACTATCTTTGCTGGAACCGCTGAGATTAAGATTCCTGTACAGTGAAGAAGAACTAAAGTGTGATTACATCTGCCTCTGCAAATATTGGGCAGGGGCTAAGCGTCTGCCCTTAGTCTTAAGAAAAGCTTCAGAACAGGTATGCAAATGTGGCAAAGTGAGTTGGTTTTCCCTATGGCACTATGAATAAAAAAGATATTTTAACAAATCAATGTTCATAGAAAATCTCTAGTCTTGTGGTCTATGTTCTTAAAGGACAGAAAATGAACTTTCAATGAAAAGTACGTGGGGACCTGGGCAAAGCTTTATTTCTCACAGGCCTGAAGGACAGGTGGAAAGGGGTAATTCCTAGAATATCTGGAGACTGATTAAATTAATTTTTACCTAAGCTATTATGCGGCAAGAACTGAGGAGACAATTTATCTCCTACAATGGCCTTTTGAATGAAAGGAAGCCAGGCAGAGAAAAGTGCGCAGACGTTTCGGACGTCACACTGAACTTGACCGACTGTTGAAGGAGCAACTGACATCTCAGTTGATGCAAAATACAATTAAAAAAAATTTTTTTAGGGTAAGGCCAATAAGGTGTACTTCCCTCAGAAAGTCACCCCTAAGTCATTTGTAAGCAAACTTCGGTATGGGTGCCATCGATCACCAGGCTGATGCTCTGAACAAAGTGAGGTGACAAGGCATTGAAAAATAACCCCGGGCTACAGCTCTGCCGTGCCATCAGCACTGTGACCTAGTGGCAAATGTGTGGGGCGGACCGGGTATTTCTGCACCGGCTTCCCAAGTGAAAATGATCCTACCGCCACCGCGGCCCCCAGGCTGTGAAACTCCGGGCCGGCTTGCTTTCCCGCCGCTTCTGGGCACAGGGCTGCACGCGGTGCCAGGGCTTTCTCTCCCGGAGTGCGAGCAATGGGGATTCTCGGGATCTGGGACGGGGGAGTGGGGGGGCTGAGGGGGAGGACAAGGAGTCCGGTCCTTCCTCTGGATGACTCGACGTTCCCGCCGTGCACACATATTTGGAGGGGGAGGGGAAGGGGGAGGAGGAGAGGGAGGACGGAGGACGAGGAGGACGGAGGAGTCCGTTCCTTCCTCTGGATGACTCGACGTTCCCGCCGTCCACACATATTTGGAGGGGGAGGGGAAGGGGGAGGAGGAGAGGG